CCAGTTTGTTCCCATCTGTCAATTAATTTGTCCATCAGGTTATAAGATGGCAAAAAACATAAAACACCATGAGGTATAATGGAACATATTTGCAGTATTAAAGACCCAACATCATCTTGAAATGTAAATGTTCCAGTATTCTGAAATGTAGCATTAAGGGACACATTGTTTGGTCCTTTACCAATAGTGCCAATCCAAAGTTGAGATTTTTTAACAACATGATTAGCTTCTAAAGTAGTATGGAAAGTTGTGCCAAGTTCCGACTCAAAGGACGCCATGGGTGATAAAGTGCCAGAAGCAACAATTAAAGAGTGGATACAATCCTTAATGTCTGAAAATGCAACACCTGGATTTAGGCACCAAAAGTTTAAGGTCAGTTCTAAGTCATTTGCTGGAACAACTAAGTGTCTATTACCTCTAAGCCTTTGACCAACACGCCTGGTTTTCAAAACAACAAGACGATAATCTGGGACATACACCATATTGGCTTTATACAGAAAGTTAAGAATTTCTCTTAATTTTTTCATAACAGCTAATGCAGTTGAAGACAACTTGGGCTGGTCTAAATCTATAATTTCTACTGCTTCTTTATCTTTTTCAAGAAAGAGAACACTTTCAAATTTTTGATCAAATTCTTTGAATGTGTCAGGCCCAATTCTCACATGGGATAATACAGCAAGCATATCATCGCCTTCATATACTTTAGCGGAAGATTCAAATGTCTGATAATCTGTCAAATTATTTGAATGGCTTTTTAACCAATTAGTCATACTTTTAAAAATGTCACTAAAATATAAATATGACTGTCCATCCAATTTTGAGTATCGCCCAACCTTTTCTAAATTAGCACCACTCTCTTCTAAACTCACAACATCAAAACTACTACTTGCAGCCGAACGAGCGTTATCTTCAATATTATGTGCCTCGTCCATAATTATTATGCTTCCTTTTAGGCTAATTGACACCGCAGAACGTAAAAGAGGATCAACGAGGTAATTATAAGGACAAAATAATGTCTGATGCAGATATTAGCTCTCGTGAACTGTAATAAGGACAACATTTTTGTTTCTTACAGATTGATACAAAATCTTCTAAATCAAAAGCAGTTGAAAGGCTGCTTGGACGGTTGTGAGTTACAAATTTAGCATTTCGATAATATTTGCAAGCTGGACCACCTTCAGCCTTGAGAAGCTCTTCACAAGCCTCATTTTTATTATCAGTGCGTGACGCTTCCGGATGAATACAAGCTCTTTCCCGAGAAGACAAGATACACATTTTGCAATCTTTATAGGCCGTCTTCTTAAGCTCATGAATAATTTGCTCTACCTGTTTGTGTGTTCTTGTACCAAAATATATAGTAGGAAGTTAAGCTGGTAGATTGGTGTCACTAGCAACATTCATTTTCATCTTTTCTTTTTTAAGATCACATGTGCAAAGTGCAGAATCAGTATTAATAGAAGATTTGCTGCTTGCCCTATTGTCAGAGTCAGCAGTAGTAGGCATATTATTCAATAGTTCATTAGGAAATGAGTTGTTAGAACTCAACTGTGCAGACTTATAGTAGGTTGAGGCATCTAAGCTACTGCGATATCTTTTTGAAGGAGCAAAGTCTTCAAATTCTTCATCATGGAAGCTTATGGAACTTCTTTTACTGCTAGATGAAGCTTGCACTGATTTCCTCTGCTCATCTAAAGTTTCACATTCTTTTTCAATAGGTCTTATTGTTGTGACAAAAGGTCTCCCACTAGATGAATCTGATAATGAACTGTTTTTAGCTTGTTCAGATAACCCACTTTCCTTATCATATTTGTTATTACGATTTTTGTAGTAATGAACGGGGCACTTTTCATTATCTTCTACTGTAACTCCAAGGGAGTTGAGATGTTCTTCCAATTTTTCGTTATGAATCATGATTTTCTTTTTAGTTTGGTTAAGCCAACTTAAACTGGCACATAATAAAGCAAGACTTTTGCCTGAACCAGTAGGGGATTCCAAGAGACAATTGTTTCTTTTATTTAAGCATTTAACAATTCTATCCATCATTGTTATTTGAGATGGATAAGCTTTATAAGGAAATACAATTGGAACCCCGCTAATGACATAAGCTTTGGAAACAACATCTGAAGTAATAGGGGTTTTGTTGGAACTTTCATCAACAGTTGCCATTTTTAAAAAGGCACACTGCTTAAATCACAAGAAACTATTTAGTTAATTAGACAGTACAGTAATTCTTTAGTAACTAATCACTTATTCAGAATTAGTTACAGACAAATTCTGAAACTTAAGGAAATAATATATTTAATATAAGGTAACACATGCTAGTCTATTACATTCGAGAATTAAAAAAAAAAAACAGTTTGATTCTAACAACCAGACCATCACAACTACAATTAATGGCTGGAATGCTCTTGATATTTTAAAATGCGATTTTTCTAAGCAACATAATTTCGCATATTCAATTCACAGTTTGTCCTTTTTTTATAATTCAGCTATAAAAAATTTGAGTATTAATTCAGTCAAATAATGTGACGATCACGTGAAAACTATTGTTTTTATTCTCAAATTCTCTTTTTTCCCGGCAGTGTTTGGAAACAAATATAATCATTTCGCTTCGATTCACATTGGTTTAACTTCATGTGAAAATTGTTATGTCTATTGGGTTAAAATTCAAGCGTTAATTATGAGATCTTTAGAAATAGTGTTTTAAGTTTTTTGCAAATGCTAGAACTGAAATGAAGAATTTTCCAAAACATTCTGACCAATCAGAATTTAACACAAGAAGTAAACAATCGTTCTACGAAGTAATTTCGTATTTGTTGAATATCACGTAACTAATGACGTTAACTCTGGTACTTTAATATTCAATTGTTACTGACAGTGTCAGTATTGTATTCAATCTTTCTATACATGTGCTTTTGAAATGTCGTTTACTTGGCCTTGCCGTAGTTATGATAAAAATCCCCAGAGTTTTCAGTTTGGAATTAGAATTTTGTAAATATTTTATTAGACTAAATATCTATTCTTGATTCAACATTTTAAAAAAATGTTTCAAAACAGGAGAAGACAACCTGGTATGGGAGTTATGCTCTTAATGTATCAGCTTTTCGCTGTCATTGGCATAGATCGGATACCTCCTGTCACTCTAAGTGCTATTGGACTCCAAGTTGCTATATTTTTAAGACTCTTCAAATTACCATGGTACAAACCAACAGATATTTGCGTTAGTGCCTATCGAGTTTGGACAAAAAGAGAATATTCTCGTCTTGTTTTTGCTGCCTTAGAACATGGGGATGACTGGCATCTTTATTACAACATGGTATCCTTCGCCCTAAAGGGACAGTCGTTAGAAANTATTTTTAAGACTCTTCAAATTACCATGGTACAAACCAACAGATATTTGCGTTAGTGCCTATCGAGTTTGGACAAAGAAAGAATATTCTCGTCTTGTTTTTGCTGCCTTAGAACATGGAGATGACTGGCATCTTTATTACAACATGGTATCCTTCGCCTTAAAGGGACAATCGTTAGAAAGAAGATTTGGGAGTGTAAAATTCCTTTATATTTTATCAGTATTTACTGTGCTTACAAACTCAGTATTAGTGGCATTAAACATATTTTCAAACAAATATCTAGATTATGAAGAGCGGTGTGCCGTTGGATTTTCTGGTGTTATATTTGCATTAAAAGTATTGACTACTTATTATGATCGAGGTTTTACTCAAATAATGGGCATACCCATAACTGTGCCTACCAGGTATGCCGTATGGTTTGAGCTGGTACTGATACAGTTACTTGTACCAAATGTGTCCTTTTATGGACACTTAGCTGGAATTCTTGTTGGAACAGCTTATGTGATGGGACCATTAAGATTAGTGATGGATTTAATTTATTCAATTGCGAAAGGTATACTGTTTCCATCTGGTCCACGTTTTACACCTCGTGCTGAACCATCTGGATATTCCAGTGGAGGCTATAACCAGTATGCGGAATCATCGGGATATTCTGGTGGAAGATATAATCAATATGCTGCATCATCTGACTCTACCAGTGAAAGATATAACCAATATATACCACCTGGTATGAGTGAGGAAGAGCAAATTCGGCGAGCTATGGAAGAAAGCATGCATGGTAGTCCTAGATCTAGCAGTCGGGGTTCGTCTTCTGCTACCTCACCTCCTAACAGTTCTTCTCCTCCTCCCCCTCCAGGATTTATATTTGGTGATAATATTAATACTTCGCCTCCTCCACCTCCAGGATTTTATCCTGATATTGATGAATTACGTTCGAAAAGAGAAGCTCGTTTTAAACATTAATAATTTTTTAGTTAGTAGCTGAATTAAAAAGCTGTGGCTATGTTGTATAAATTCACTATGTTTTTTCCCTTTTATCTTATAATTTTTAAAAATAATGTCAATTTTTCATTTCATCATGTTCAATAGTTTTGTCGTAAACATTATATTACTTCTTGTTTTGCGTAAAGTGTAAACATTTAATTTTATGGAAGTGAAGGATATTCCTATTATAACAGTACTTTAATATATCTACTGTAGTCGCCAAAGAGTAATTCGAATTTCAAAAGTGGTAATATATTTCCCTCTTGAAATTTGCCTTCACTGACTGATTTTTTTTTTTTTTTTGTTAAATTGTTTTACGTTGTCTGGTTGTCATGGGTAATTTTTTTTTTCTTTCAAAATTTTGGAATGGGTAATGATACCAAAATTATCCCATTTCATAACATTATAATTTCTTGTTAATATTGTTTACACATTGTTTTCTAATTTTTTTTTCTTGATTAATATTATAGCTTTTTGTTATTGAAACTTTAAGAAGAATTGTATTTTTTTAATACCTAAATGAAATTAGCAATGTTTATTTGAAGATTACTGTAACATCTTAACCTATTAGTACTTATACCAATGCTGATACCAATATTATTCCATTCTACATTACTGATTTCTTGTTATTGTTGGTTACGCATTGCTCACTTATTCTTCTTTCTTGATTAATATTATTGGTTTTTCTTACTAAATGTTTTTAAAAAAATTATATTTTTTAAATATGTAGGTAACTGAAATTTGCAATATTTTTTAAAAGATTATATTGATATCTTAAACTATCAGTACTTAAATGGTGTACATATATTTTATGTAATTTCAAATTCAGTTCACAAAAATCATAAGAATTTAAAAAAAAAAATTACATTTGATTAAAAAGTCTTACTCTTTAAAACATTGTCTAAAAATTTAATTAGTATTTCTTTATTAATGATAAATAATATCAAGAATGTTTTCATAACAGATTTGACAACTTGAAGAAAAAGAACTTAAAATTCATAATAATTTTAACAATTTTAAAGAAAATAGTTGAACAAGTATTTTGTAATCTAAATCAGGTATGTTTGAGGAAATTTAGTCACAAAACAAATTTTATTTTCAAACTTTTTATTATTCTTTATTACATATATCAATAATTTGAATTATATTAGCTAATTATGCTAACATTTAGTCATACTTAACTGTTGAAGTAAAATTCAGAACAAAGCTTGATTTCATAATTTTTTTTTGTCATTAAGTTATTGAAGTAAACTTTTGCAATTAATAAGATTATAACGTCTAATTTACTGCAATATCTTTTTTAAGGAACAAAGTCTTCAAATTCTTCATCATGGAAGCTTATAGAACTTCTTTTATCGTCAGATCTTTTTTTGATCTTCAAGAGAATTGCCATCTTTTTCAACACATTTTAATGTTGTTATAACAGTTGGTTTCGAATTCAGTAAATCTGAAAATTAACTTCTTTTTTTGAAATTTATTTTTTAATCCCTTTCTTTGACCATAATTGAAATAATTCCATTGTAGTTACACAAATCCTGTTTCATCAATTATCTTATTAAATTAAAGTAAGATCAGTTTATTAAAGAGTGCTTTTATAACAATTATAGTTGTGCAAATTTAATATTAAATTTTGTAAGATGAACCTTGCAACTTTGTAATTTGAAAATTTAAGATTTGTCTGTTTCATTTTTTTTTTTTGAGCTTATTGAAAATTTTTTTTAATTAACTGATTTAGAAAATATTGAATCTAAATGGCAACTTACGCAAGTGTTTAAATATTGTATTGAGGAATGAACTAGTTGATGATTTTTTAAATAAATATTCATTTCTTATAATTTATAAATTTAATTTTTAAAAAATCGATAGTCTAATGAAATAAAGGTAAAATAAAATAGGTTTTAAATTGAAAATCATACTTAAAAGCAGCATTAACTCTAATAAGTTAGATTCACACTTAGCACCAATTGCTTGTTGGGTGTCCAGTTACATAAATAATTATTATGAGGCAAGAGATGTTGAATTCATAATACTTTTTAATGATTTTTACTTATTTATGCCAAAGTTTTTACGAGTCCTTTCTTTCAATGTTTATTTATTTTTATTTTACTGAGAATAAAGTATCTCAAATTTTCTTGTTTTTAATTTTTCATCATTTTCCTAAAAATAACTGAATCAGTGATACATTTTTATTTTTCTCATTAAAGTTCTTTATTTTGTGAAAGTTTGTCCCCCCTGGAGTGTTGCTACTTATTTTTTGTTGGTTTAATATGTTCATTGGGAAACACACAATATTGCATTACAAAGTTCTTTCCTCGCAGTTTGTATCAGTAAAACAGTTCAAGTGGTAGCAAAATGTATGTAATCATTTAATTATTTTCATTATAGAAAATATAATGTTTTTCATGACAATGACATATTTTTTAAAATAAACTTATTTTAAAATTTAGAAACTAAAATGCGAAATTTTTATCTTTACAAATTACCGCACTTCAATGATAAATATATAGTATAACCACCTACACTCAGCTGCAATGAAAGTGTTAATTGTTCATCAAATGATTTACATAATTGTGTGAATTTATATTGTTGTATTTTACTTAAATGGAAAATATTTTCTTAATTTTTGGTTTTCATCTGTGCCTAGCTGATTTATTAATTGATTATTAATACTTCTTTGCTAAACTTTATAAGAAACTGCATCTTGTTTTTACATCCTTACAAGTTTTCTATTGCAGATTTTTACATGTTTGTCACAAATATTTTCTTTTACCTTTCTCTACAAATTCAATAATCTGTATGTTTTCAAATTTTGATTAAATTAATTTAGTATCTTTTTAGTTAGATTTATTTGTTAAGTATATCTTATTTTTTATGATAAACTTAAAAATATGCATTTAATAGGTTTTCTATATTTCTGGAATAATTTCTTTCTAATGTTAGTTAATATTCATGTTTTGTTTGTTTTTTTAAATTGTCAAGTAATCACATTTTTTTTAGACTTGTTCAGTAAATTTTTTTTTAATGAAACAGAAATTTATGCTACAAATACAAAAATTAAGCTTTCAATGTAAAGAGCAACATTGAACTACAAATTTTTAAAAAAAATAAATAAATAAATTAGGCATAATATGCAATATTATTTTTAGCTTTTATTACTATTAACTTACTATTCATTTTTGAAATATTTAACCTTTAGTTTCCATTTTATATTTGTGGGTTTAACAAAAAAATACAGAAGTATTCCTAAAATCTTTTTTAGGTTTTAATAATTTTCTTTACATAGTTTCTTCAAAAGCTTAAACATTTTTAATGAGAGTTAGTTTGTGAAATATACTTAAGCTGATATACAATCAGCAATTTTAATTTTGTGTTGGAAAAATATTTATAAAATATACTTTATTTTACGTATCAAGATTTTATGCTGAAAAAATATTTAAAATGTGACGAGTTTGAATTTTTTTATTTCTAATTTTATTTTGGAAGCTAAGCATTTATTTTATTTCCTGTAAATTTTCTTTTTGAATTTAAAATATTTTCAATAGATATTCAATAAGTTTAATCATTATAATTATGTTTTTTTTTCTTTTTGAACAAATTATATGATAATTTTTTTTTTAATCTTGTGAATATACACAATGAGTATGTATTGTAATTAATGTACTTATAAGAACAATAAATTATCTAATTTATAACATGAATTTTTTCCTTTTTTTTTTACATAAAGCAAATCTTTTTTTTCATATTTCTTCCAGATTGGACATATTATCAAGTAAAAATTTTTAAAAGAGAATTTAGTCATAGACTGTTTGTTAAGTACAGTCACAAAGTATGTTTCTGCTTTAAATGCTAGTAAGTGACACATTTGATTCTCTAACTCTTGACAAATGACACATTGGATTTTCGTGACAATGGTAAGATGGGTTAAGTTTTGAAACTGACTCAAAGTTTACTTTTCTTGTTTCTATGTCTATAGCAAAGACTTAATTTTTTCCCTTAACAATACATTACTTATTGCCAACAAACTGAATAAAAAGATTAAAAAATTATCAATAGATTTAATTCAGCAAAAAATTATTTTTTTAGCTTTCAATGTTGTGATTTGACACAATCTAGTGAGATTTTTTTGAACAGATAAGAAACACTGCAAAAATAGATCTCTTACAATTTATTTACAAAATACAAATACTTGTATAAAAATTCTTCGCATCACAGTGGTGACAATTTTCTCATTTGGTTCACAAAAACACACAAAGTGACAAGAAATAGCTTTGACAAAGTTTAAAATCAGATTGTTTTATAAGGCATTTCACTAACTCTCTTTTTAAAAAAATACTTCCTAGGTCAAAAAGCTCTTTGAAAACGAAATTTCTAATATGCATCTACTCAGATTAGTTCAGTGCACATTTTTCTGACTTTCTTTCTGCACAAGAATGTCTACATTTTTTACCAGGCCTCAATCTAATGGATTTTTGCAGAAATGGGGATCGAAATTGGCTACAGGTGGCGTTGAGCAGAACTCTCTACCTATGGCAACATTTCGTGTGTTTACACCGTTAGCGTAAGGAGAGTCATAGGAGAAGGAAGTACGATAGTTTCTGTCTTAATTTTTAAATAGATTAAAAACTTTTAAATTGGAAAAATATTTGGAACTGAAAACTATATTGAACATAGTTCTAAAAGAAAGCGTCCTGGACATTAAAAAAAAAATATCTTTGACAATTAAATACGAAAAATAAAAGTATTAAGAAAGAAGAAAATATCGTAGTACATTCCTATACAACTGAGAAGAGGAGGAGAAGGAAGGGGGAAGGTTCAAGACATAAAATGGGTGTTCACCCTTGATGGCGTATTCGAGAGTTGCAATCGAGAATGGTCCATCGTAGAAATAAGCATTTCTGCTAAATCTCATAAGACTTTAGTATCTCAGAAAAAAAATTTCTTGCTCAAGAAATGGAAAAATTTTTATCAAGTTAAATTAAAAACCATTCATATTTTTTTTTAATGAGTATTTATTAAAATTATTCCGCATTCGAGTTATTTTTTGTTAATTTAGCTCTAAGTAGCTGTAAGTAAAATATTTCAGTTCGCACCTGTGCGCAACAATACAAATCTTTAAGAGAAAAAAAATTCCAAATTTTTAAAGTAATTTAAGTAATTTTATTGCTTATTTAATTCCTCAGAAAGTTACTTACAAAAAAAAAATTATATGTAAAAAAAGTACATATTCGAATTTATATTATTTGACTACTGTAAGAAATCAATTGACAGTATGAGTTGAATAGTTACAATAGGCGTTACTTAGAAACGGAAACCAAAGGAAGATCAGAGATGGTAGGTGGGCAAAATGAAAAAAAGCTTCCTAAATGATGTTTCTTCAGCGTAATAACGTCCCCACGTGAAAATGAACTCTTCGAAGGTCAGTCGTCTTCTTACGGTGGATAGACAAAGGGTTTTGCATTGCTTACCTTTCTTATTTCATGAGTTATACAAATGAGTGATTAATTGTAGTTTGCGTTCAAATGAATATGCATTTTTTTTGTGGCGATGGAATGAGGAAAAATGATCGGCAAATACATTTAAACTGAATTTTTTTTACAAATCGTTAAGAAATTATTATATATATTGCATATCAAAGAATTGCTCACTATCACTCGCTCACTTAATATACACTCTTTTTACAATTTCGAAAGAAAATAAAAAGTTGTAGACAAAGTAGTAAATTAAAAAATATGATTAAAATTATACGTATATTTGCTTTAGCTTTTGTGTGGAACCTTAGCCAACATACTAGTTTGAATGAAATTGGGGTAAGATTTAATTTACCTGCTAGCGATAATGAGCAATTATTTAAATAATCTTTGGTGTCAGTTAATTTCCCAAGTACGCTGCAAAGAGCCTTGACAGTACGGAGTCAGACTTTGAACCCTTTGGTTCCGTACCTTCTGGGGGAAGTATTCTTTGGCACTCATGGTTTTCAGATCCATATCCTGTACAGACTATGTCGGGAAGTCTGGATACTGCATTTTTCAGGAGCAGTTGCATAAAGTCAACAGCTGCTTTTCCACACTTCTTCTCCACGGTTTTACGAGCACAAGTCATGTAACGTTGGTATCCGCTGTAAAATAAATGAAAAAAAAAATGCTTTAATTTTTTTAAATTTGTATGTACAGTTTGAAAAATAAAAAAATGGGCCACCCTGATTAACTTTTAATCTAATGATAGGATAGTTCAGCTCTTGGATTTAATCTTAACGGTTGGGGTGGCCTCAAATATGCTAATTAATTAGGGCAGACGGTATTTTAAGTTACACAAAATCGTACTTTCTTTGAATAAATACACCTTTTTTTTCAGACGGATTCAGATTTTCGATCCCAAAAAGAAAGGGGGTTGCCGCAATCTGGAAAATATGGTTCCAACCGTATAGTCAGGAGAGCGATCTAAAATTTGGACCTATTAAATGGTAATTTTACTTTTTGTGTATTTCACCATATCTTGTGACCTTTTTAAGACAATTGAAAAATTTTTGCACACTTATGCGTTTATTCAAAGATAATTCCATCCAAAATATAACTTTCAGTAAATATTTATTACATTTTATTATTTTATTTAATAATAGTAAAAAAAAATTTTGAATTGTGAGGTATATAATTTTAAAGAATACCACTTTAAATAGTAAAATACAAAATTTATGCAAAATCTGTTGCATAGTTCTTAAAAAATCAAACTTGAAAAAGTCGAAAATTTGAAATTTTTAATTAATAATTTTTATTTGAAGATTCAAAATTATCTCACACTTGAGTTGCGATCTTAATGGCTTAAAGAATTCTTCGTAATTACGCTAATTAATTAATACAAAAGTTGTTTAATGTATGAATTCGGGATTTTAACCATTAAAATAGAGGGGAGGGGAGTAGCACTCTTAAAAATAATAATCAATTAGTTTTGCAGGGAGAGTGATTGAAAGTTTTAATCCCTATATATAATTTAACGTTTTTTCGTATTTTACAATATTTCGGAAACTTTAGAAGCTAATCAAAAAATCTTTAAACTCAATCAAAGCTCTTTCATCCATGTAAAAAAATTTTTTTATTATTTATCATAAATTTATAATATTTTAAACTATGCAAGTTGTAATGACAAAACCCAACATTTAAAAGAAGTCGGTCGAAAATTTAAAAATGATAAGAAAATTTAACAATACGATTTTATTTATTAATTTTTTTAAAATTTAATTTCTCAGAAACTATATGCCAGTTTCGCTTAAATTTTGCATTTTGTCATTTAGAACCACATAGTTAAAAATTAAAATGTTTTATATTTTGCAATCCGTAAAGTTTTCGACCATAAACGAACTTTATAATTGAAATTTTTATTTATTTATTTCGTTAATAGTTCAATAGATATGACGAAATACGCAGAAATAAAATTAACATAAACGGTTCTAACTTACTTATGACTACTCTCCTAACCGAATTGAGCCGAAACTAATCCTCCTGAGCAGAGACTATAATTTTGCAGATCGCGGCTGTTACCCGCCATCAAAATCCATCATAAATAAAAAAAAATGTTTATTCAGAGAAAGTATATGTTGGTATCTGACTTCTATACTATTAAGGTATCAGACAGGTTTCGATATATATATTTTTTAAAAAATGCTTAATTAAAATTTTAATTTTATGTTTGGTATGCAGGTGTCGAAAAATTATAAATTTAAAGCAAAGTTTAAAAATTTATAAAATATTTTTCAAAATGAGGACAAATTTGAACTACAAAATTTTCACGTCACACTAACAGCTCTACAAAAAATTGTAAAGCATAAATTTCAAAACAATTTTTTTCCTTTGATCAATAATTTGATTACTTGTGTTTTGAACTAAAACTTGACATTTCAAACAGATAATAAAAAGAACTAAATACATTGTTTAATATTGAATTTTTAAAGAAAAATTCGAAATATTCTTATTTAAAGCTTGATAAAAAATAACGCTTAGACTTAACACACTTTCACACTTAGACTTAAGCTTATAATTCAAGTCACTGGTAACATTATACAAGAACTTCATACAAAATTTCGAAGTATTTTATATTAAACTTTTATTGTAATTTGTGTTAGCTTTAAGAAATTTTATCAGAATAAACGTTCTTCAGAACATGCAAGAAAATTCTGACAAAAAAAATTTAATAATTCGAAAAATAATTTTTGAAAGTGAGTATTATTTGTCTTAAAAATACAATTATTTCGGAAAATTAATAAGTAAATGAAGGTTAAACTATTTAGAACATAACAAAAACATTTTACTTTCATTTTCTGCAATTTACTTCCGTCACGTTTGTCAGCATACGAAAAAACTCAAAAAATCGGAAAATTAAAAATTTGAAGGATTTTGGAAAACTAATGAACTAAAGTTTAAATATAAATAAATAAAAAAATTTGAAATTGCCGAATACTTTTTTCTGATTACAAATAAAACATTTTACTTTTTTTTGAGAAAAAGATTTTCCTAGCGTTAGTAACTTTTTCACTTGATTTAAAAAAAATTATCTACCATAAAAACCACGCCACATAACTAATTAAATTGCATATTTTATAAAAGCCTTGATTCCAAGTGTTTTGTTAATATGAAATAATCACTGTATGTTTAATATGTGTTTTCATTAGCTCAGGGATAAATCTTTAGCTGAACAGCGTAGTTTATATGTGTTGGATGATTATCCATATTATTCACCATCTGCATGATTGATTCAATAGCGATAGATGAATTCTTACCAGCATGCCATTGGTATTCGCTTTTGAAATTCTGAGACTGAAATAGCTTCGAGACCAGCCTGCAAATCAATTAAGCAATCTTTTTGTAGACTATGGGCATCATTCAAACACGGTGCGTGCTTTAAATAATCTGAAAAAGAAGGTAGGATTATAAAAATTTCACGATCGAACTAATCTGAATTAATATTAAAGATTTGGTTGTCGAACATCGTTTCTTAATAAAAAGTTAAAGCTTCTTAAATTAACATCAGGATATCAATAGAGATATCTAAGTTGATGTCATTTCATTTTCCTGTCCACTGGTAATCTATTAATTATCGATCACTTAGCAACCAATAGGAATATGTTAGTATTGAGATGCAAATATGAATCGCCCAATAAGAAAGGTGCAAACGACAATCGGTTGATTTAGTCAGTTCCATTTAAGCAAACAAGAAATAATTAAAAATTTTATTAAAAAATACGTAGTTTGGTTTGTTGGTGTCAGGACGCAGTCTTTGACACATTTTTATATGAATAAATAACAAGCTTTGTAATTATAATTATTTTTTTTAAAGCAAATTTGGAATCATAGTGATTCAGCAAAACTAACGGAAACCAATACGTTTTATTCCACACATATATTTTTCACATAAGACTCGCCAACATTATTTGCCATCCGATCTTACTTTCCGTTTTTCATCATCAAAAGACAATTCACTGTTTCTTTTCCCTTCTTCTGGTGACCATTTGTATTCTTCATCCCCCTCCCCTATTATTTGTTACCTTCAATGAATAACTTCTTCCCCTTAGTCGGGATGCTTGGTTTAGTCTTCGCTCAGATGGTTTGAGGTTGGATTTCCTTTATTTTTCATTTTTTAACTTATTAATAGTCTCTAGTGCTCTAGTACAAAGGTTTCCATATGTGGTGTTCTACAACTAAATATTTTAAATCCGATATTTTAAAAATTTTAAAACCAGTAATAATTTTTGAAACGTGTCATTATATTTATATCCAAGCAATACACCATCATTTTTTAATAGCCATAATTTTTTAATATTTTTATTATTTAAATAAAATACCAATAAAAAGATAGCAAAATTTTATTAAAAAAGTATTTCTTCCAATAACAATATCTTGAATAAATTATGAAAAGGATATGAATTTATTAAAAATTGCAACATTATTTCTCATCGAACTTTTCAATTGAAAATAAAATGAATAAAGATTAATAATGAATAAAGATTAAAGATAAAGAATAATGATAAAATGAATAAAGATTAATAAATGACTAGAATAAAGATTTATGGTGTTCTTAGATGCCGCTCCAGGCTTGCAAATTCAACTGTTTGTCACAAAACTTATAATTTTAAAACTTAAAACGGTTATTGAAAAAAATTTCATTCATTATCAAAATATTAAGCCTTTCTTTGGTTTGTATATTCACAGCTACTTATTTTATTAACTTGGGTCTCCGCCAAAAAGATGCTCAATCATTTAGAGTTCCATAACGAAAAAAAAATACGCTCTAGAACGTGAATATAGAAATTCTGGACTGGTTACTTACTTGCTCTTAGATCAGTTCCAGGTGTACAGTATTCAGTTAATAGTTTCTCTGAACCCTCACTTACGAATCCAAGTAGTTCTCTCTGCAGTGGTGTCATGCATCTGAGAGTGAAGTTTTTGAAACATTGTTCTGCTTCGTTAATATATCTGCAACAATAATAATGAATCGCACATTAAAATTGACTCTTAGCACCAGGGCCCGACTTAGCCTAATTGAGATCCGGGGTCAAAAACTTCTTAGGGGACCCCCTCTGCTTCAGTAATGAAGGTGTTTAATATGGAGGAATTTAAAGGTATTTAATTTTTAGGTATTTATATTTTTTCACCTCCTTATAGATAATAAGAAAATTGACTAGAACCTAAAATAGCTATGAAATCCCCCCCCCCTCAGTGGTCAGACGAAATATCGTTCTGCCCATTTTAATGATTTTCAGATAATGTCCTTCGGCATCATGCCGGATGCAGTTTTCTGATTGTTAACTTTGTCATCTAGCAGCGAAAAATTCATATCCTTGCTGACATTAGGGCTAAATTTACGCAATTTCGTTGACTCGATTAAACCAATCAGAAGCCTGTATTTCTGTAAACATATCGCAATTTGCAATATGCAAAAATACACGCTTTTGATTGACCAAATTTGTTCATTGTAATTGCGAAAATTTAGCTGAATTCCGTCTTAGAAAGCCATGGATTTACGAAATATAGATTGTGTTCATACGATAGATTAATGAAGAAGCTAACATAAAACTGACGGATTTTACACTGTAATGGTATTTTGTTATGAAAAAGCTCATTAAAGAATGTAGCATAAAATAAACTTTCCATTTGCTTTGGGGGCCTCCACTAATGCGAGGGTCCGGGGTAACTGTCCCGTATGCCCCTGCCTTCGTCAGGCTCTAAATAGCATAGCAGTATGTTTGCCTCTACACCTAGATCTAGATTCTTATCTTTATACATTAGAGCCGCTTTGGTTCAGGGGGTAGGGCTCAATGAGGTGGCTGGTCGATATGAATTCCGCAGCTGGCTCGCACCGATCACAGTACTGACGGGAAATATCCTTAGTGGATTATGGGTTAAAATCCCATTGATGTCGGACTAACAATGGGAGCTTTCCGCGGTTTTCCTCACCATGTAACGCAAATGCGTGTTAGTTCCGTCAAAAAGTCCTCCACAAAGGCTAGTTTGTTCCGATACTCGATCCAGGAGTTTCTTTACCTTCTGACTTTAAAATTACATTACTGTGGAGTTGAACATTGATAGTCGTAAACTTAGAATTGGATCGGCTGTTCAATGCCGGTTTTAAAAATGTATAAAAAAAAATAAAATTAAATATCTCTACATGTAATAAATCTGTGCCTGTATACCAGGCGAGTATTCGACAAACCGGAGACATTTACTACTACTACGGCAAATGTCGACCTGGATTTGTGAATGTTTCCAAAGCCGATTTTTGATTCGAGTTTTTATGCAGGCCTCATTTGAATAATGGTTCAACTCCTCTCATTGAAAACTGTTAAGTTAGTATGAATACAAAGTGAAACTAGTAACTGGTATGAACATAACAATGAAACTGTTAGTTTCACTGCTATGTTCGTAGTAGTCACTTCCTTGTTATTTTAAAACTAGAACACTTCCTGCTTACCATCGTTTGCTAGATAAAAATACACTAAGTATCAGACAAAATGAGAAAAAACCCTATTTATTTACGGTTCATCTTTAAAATGAAAAATAAATAAAATTAAAAATAATAATTATTTTTAAAGACAAATTTTGCTCAAGTTATTAAACTATTGCCGAAAATTCGTCTTTATATGACTTATTTTGTGAAAAAAAATAAAAAATAGCACTTTAAAGAAAGTACTCCAACTCTTTGAGCAAACATTCCTTAAATCAATGCTATATACAGAATAATTTTAAATTTTGAAAATTTATTTTTAAAGAAAACAAAATTTTTTGGTTACTAGTTATTGAACATTCAATCACAGCAATTTTTTTTATTATTCCAAACAAATGAACCAGCAAATTTCATGAAACACAATCATCTAAAACATAAAGTTATCATGCAACTTAGTTCCGTATCATGAAAACACTTAAGTTATTTCAATATACAAGGTGTTCTGTAATCACTCCGTGAAACACTCTTGTCTTAAAGTAAACATATTGATGGTCGTTAATTAATAATTAAAGGAGGAAGAAACAAAATCGTTATCGAAAGGCTCGTGAAGAAAACATCAAAGCTAAATTTATTGCCTTGTGATTTCTTCCTGTTTCCTCGAGCAAACAGGTAGGTTTTTACGATTTTAGCCTTGCCTTCCTCACTAGTGATTCATTGAGTTTTAAAAACGATTTTGTTCTTTCTTCGCTTAAATATTTATTTGTGACCCGTAGTCGGAGTTTTTTTATATTTCATCTCCTTATTACAGATTCTTTAGATTTGGATTATTTTATTCACTTAAATACTAAATTGCGATCTTTGACTCTGCTTATACTTTTCACCCTAATTTTTTATAAGAATTCAAAAACTGTGCAGTATGGGTGGTGATTACGGAACACCGTCTATATTGAGAACTGCATTAGTTTCAGCAGTTAAAAACTTACGTGCACTGCCTGTTGAGGTCAGGTTCATTGGTAGCAACTCCTGTCGGACTCTGGTTGAAAAGCACTAAGGTTGCGGCACAAAGATCAAGTTCACGTAAGTGGCACGATTGACTAGAGCTATAGTGGAATACTGGAAGGGTAAAAAAAATTACTACTTTAAAAAAGAACAGCAATATATTTCTAAGCGCTTATATAAAAACAAAAATTATTTTGAAATTAATATGGCACCTATACTAAATTTAAAAAACAAAACAAAAAAAAAACAAAGTATTTATGTGCTATAAAGTTAAAAAATAAATAATGTTTAAGAATAAAAAGTATCGAAACTGTTAAACATTAAAATATCTTATATTTGAAGTCGATAATCTAAATTTCTGAGCAGCGATGGCTCAGGGGATAGAGCGTTCGCCTTCCAAAGAGGTNTTTTTTCTTTAAATTTCTATTTTAAATTTATTGTATTACTTTTCTTTGTCGCCTGGACAGGATTTTCCTCTTGACGACGAATATATATTCTTTGTATTTATGTGTTTTTGTTCTCAATAAAGTTATATTTGTTTGTTTGAAATATCCTTAGTGGATTATGGGTTAAAATCCCATTGACGTCGGACTAACAGAGGGAACTTTCCGTGGTTTTCCTCTCGATGTAACGCAAATGCTGGTTAGTTCCATCAAAAAGTCCCCCACAAAGGCTAGTTTGTTCCGATACTCGATCCAGGAGTTCCTTTATCTTCTGGGTTGAATTTAAAATTACATTACTGTGGAGTTGAACATTGTTAGTCGTAAACTTTGAATGGGGTCGCTTGTACAATGCCGGTTTTAAAATATATATAAAAAAATAAAATAAAATATCTCTGCATGTAATAAGTCTGTGCCTATATACTAGGCGAGTTTGGGGACAAAGCGGAGACATTTACTACTACGATGGTAACTGTCGACCTGAATTTGTGAATGTTTCCAAAGCCGATTTTTGATTTGAATTTTTATACCGGCCTCATTTGAAGAATGGTTCAACTCCTCTCATTGAAAACTGTTGAGCTAGTATGAATACAAAGTGAAACTCGTAACTGGTATGAACATAACAGTGAAACTGTTAGTTTCACTGTTATGTTCATAGTCGTCACTTCTTTGCTATTTTAAAACTAGAACACTTCCTGCTTACCATCCTTTGCTAGATAAAAATACACTAGGTATCAGACAAAATAGGAAGGAAAAAAAAACATTTATTTAAGGTTCATGTTTAAAATAAAAAAGAAATAAAATTAAAAATAACCGTTATTTTTAAAGACAAATTTTGCTCAAGTTATAAAACTATTGCCGAAAATTCGTCTTTAAAAGTAAATTTCATGAAACACAATTATCTAAAGCATGAAGTTATCATGTAACTTAGATAAGTATCATGAAAACACTTAAGGTATTTCAATATACAAGGTGTTCTGTAATCACTCCCTGAAACACTCTTGTCTTAAAAGTAAACATATTGATGGTCGTTAATTAATGTTTAAAGAAGGAAGAAACAAAATCGTTATCGAAAGGCTCGCGAAGAAAACATCAAAACTTAATTTAGTGCCTTCCTGTTTCCTCGAGCAAGCAGGTAGGTTTTTATGATTTACGCCTTTCCTTCCTCACTAGTGATTCATTGAGTTTTAAAAACGATTTTGTTCTTTCTTCGTTTAAATATTTATTTGTGGTCCATTGACAATGGTTTAGAAGTTTTTAAAATCATCTTCCTGAATATAGATTGTTTAGATTTGGATTATTTTATTCACTTAAATACTAAATTGCGACCTTTGACTCTGCTTATAATTTCCCCCCTCATTTTTATAAGAACTCAAAAACTGTGCAGTAAGGGTGGTGATTACAGAACACCGTCTATATTGAGAACTGCATTAGTTTCACAGCAGTAAAAAAACTTACGTGCACTGCCTGTTGAGGTCAGGTTCATTGGTAGCAACTCCTGTTGGACTCTGGTTGAAAAGCACTAAGGTTGCGGCACAAAGATCAAGCTCACGTAAGTGGCACGATTGACTAGAACTATAGTGGAATACTGAAAGGGTAAAAAAAAAAATACTAATTGAGAAAAAAAACAACGATATATTTCTAAGCGCCTATATAAAAACAAAAATTATTTTGAAATTAATATGACACCTAGACTAAAAAAAAAAAGGAAAAATAACTATTAAAATTATTTATGTGCTATAAAGTTAAAAAATAAATAATGATTATGAATAAAAAGTATCGAAACTGTTGAATAATAAAATATCTTATTTTTGAAGTCGATAATATAAATTTCTGAGCAGCGATGGCTCAGGGGATAGAGCGTTCGCTTTCCAATGAGGTGAAACGGGTTCGAATCCCAGTTGATACGAAATCCGCATCCGGCTTGCACCGACCACAGTGCTGACGTGAAATATCCTCAGTGGTAGACGGATCATGGGTTAGAGTGCCCTTGCCGTCAGGCTTACCGTGGGAGGTCCTCGTGAACTTCCTCTCCGTGAAACGTAAAGGCGGGTTAGCTCCATCAAAGAGTCCTCCACGAAGGCAAATTTCTCCCAATCTTCTGATCCAGGAGCTTCCTTGTCTTCTGGATTGGGTTCAAAATTACAAGGCTACGGATTTGAACTTTAGTAGTCGTAAGCCCTTGAAATTGGGTCGGCTTTTCAACGACGGTTATAATATAAATATAAAATAAAATATAAATTTCTAAGCATTTGTCCGTTACACATTTCTTTTAGCATTTAGATGGAACTGATTAGATATTAAATGAAAGATTCTTTTTATTCTTTAAAAGCTATTTTCTTCAATATGTTCTGAATTATATAGAAAATCGTATTCATCTACATATAATTCAATTAAAAAATTAGTGACAAAAAGTGTTTAAAATGAAGGTTAACCCAAATCTCCGTCCTCATGAAAACAAGTACGTATTTATATATATACACATCTTTAGTATCGGTTTATAGTTTTATTAACTGAATTTTCCTTCAACATGCTTTTTTTTTTCATTCGACTTTTTTTTATAGGTTCAATAAAATGGAGATTTAGAATATGAGGGGGCGTTCATCCGAGTCTTTGTCCTAGATTTTGTACGATGAATATATAAATTATGTCAAGAATCAGATAAAAAAAAAGTTGTTTCGGTTCGTTAACCTCGTTACAAAGAAGTTAGTCCGATCTAATCACATTTTTTTCATCACAAAAAAAGTTAAGAAAATATTATGCATTAAAATTGTGTTCGTTGTCATGTAACGCAAGATCCGAATGATGGATAACATTCAATTTAATTTGTTGATTCATTATTATTATTTTACATAACGATGCTTGTAAATGTTGTTTTCCTTATAACAACTTTTTAAGAAAAAAATAACATAATAAAATTTAAAAAAATAATAATAAATGAATAAAGAAACTAAATAAATAAAAAACATTTTTATTCCATATTTCTATAGTTTGTCTTAAGATTATAGCACGAAAATATTAAATTCCTCTTCGAAAAAATTTAAAAGTTGCAGCATAATATATCGAGTGCTGCGCTGGACAGGTATGAACAAATGAACTTGTGTTCTTAGTCAATTAAAGGATTTGCTCACTCCTATCAAGAAATTTTTAGTAAAATGCTATCATTTTAACTATTTTATTGAGAAATTTTTTAAAAATTATATAACAAAAGGAGTTAATGGTTCTTAAATTATTGATATATGATGATATATGAATTGATTAATGGTTTTAAAATAGTTGAAATTGTAACTTATTTAGCTGAATTCTTGATGAAGGTTGCAATAGGTTATTTTTTAATTTTATAATCGTTGTTGAACAGTCGACGCAATTTTTTTGGTTTACGACTACTAATGTTCAACTCTGTAGCCTTGTAATTTTGAACCCAATCCAGAAGACAAGGGAACTCCTGGATCAAGTATTAGAAGAATTCAAGTATTAGACTCATACTAACGTAACAGTTTTCAATGAGTGGGGTTGAACCATTATTCAAATAAGGTCAACTCCGTAGCAATGTAATTTTAAATCTAACTCAGAAGATAAGGAAACTCCTGGATCGAGTATGGGAACAATCTAGAATTCGTGGAGGACTTTTTGATGGAACTAAGCAGCATTTGCGTCACATGGAGAGGAAAATCTCCCACGGTTAGTCTGACGGCAAGGGGACACTAACCCATGATCCGTCTACCGCTGAAGATATTTTACGTCAGCACTGTGGTCGATGCAATCCGGATGCGGAATTCGTATCGATCAGCGGATCAACAACTGCTGGGATTCAAACCCGGTTCACCACGTTGGAAAGCAAACGCTCTATCCCCTGAGCCACGACGGCTCGCAAAATGTATTGAGTTTTTCTTTAATTAGAAATTAGCAATTAGTAATTAATAAGAACATTTAGGAATTAATGTAGGCCCAGCAGCCAAAGATTACGCTTAAAATGAAGATGATCGAAAAATTTCATCCTACTCTAAAAACATATGAGGTGTTTAACATGAGGGTAGATCGACAAGAAAAGGGGTTAAACGAAGATAAAATAAGACTGCTAGAAATGATGGAGAAGTTTCTTACGTACCAGGTAAATTATTGTAGTAAGTTGCAAAATTTTATACTGGGTTATTCATAATTCCCTCCGCCTGTAAACGGCATTTTTTTTTACTACAACTGGCTTCTGTGGTACATGTTACTGCCATCTACCGGCAACTGCTTAAGTTAAAACTTGAATACTTTCGGAATAATTACATGTTCTTTTTTGCCATATTCGTATTCGTTTTTTAACTATAACGCTTCAAAACCCCGGAGGGAATTAGGAACAACCCTGTATAGTTTTTCTGCAATTAGGCATTTTTTACTTGGGTTGACAGGTTTTGAGTAATCCATGAAAATGTAACGCATTGTATGTCATTTTTTTTCTTCAAAACACAGCCATTTTGTGAGAAAAAATTATTTATTTTCTAGTAACGAAAACTACATTAACGTAGTCTTAAAAAATTAAAACGAAATCAAATTTGGATGATTTTTTTTTTCAACTTATAAGTTTAGAAGTTATGGATAATTTGCAAAATAAATTTTATAACATTGTAATACAACAGAGCTAATTTTTAAAATGTTTGTATTTGTAACAGGATAAAATGAAGATTAAAATGTGTACAATAAGATTTTAAAAAAAAGTATTACGTTAAGTTTAACACAAACGCTGACAAAATTCATAACAATTTTTTCTACATATTTATTTTGGTTGGTCTCCTCAATGCTATTTGTAGAGTTTGTTTAGAAATTTCACATAATTAAACTACTTTTTTTTATGCTAGATTATTTCTCATAAAAAGTAAAATTAAAAAAAGTTTAAAAAAAAAATCCCTTCTGTCTTCATTCGTTTCAATTAAGTCATTCAACTTCCATTCTTTTACCATCTGATTACATAATTAGGAATAGAAAACTCATCAAGGCGATTGAAAAAAAAATGGCGCGATATTTGAAACATGAAATGCGCCACGTTTTCATTGAAAAAAAAAAGAGAAGAAATAAAATGTTTAAATGTGTATTATCTACAATTTCTTTGACTTTCACTTAACTTTATACACATTTTGATTTCTTTTCTTTAATTAATTGCATACCAGATAATGCTTTATTAAACATCTCTTTAAAAATAGTAGGATTCGCATAGTAATTCATGGAAACAAATACTTAAGGCTGTTGGGTGTGCATGAGTGAAATAATATTTTTTAAAATCTCATTTCTAAATACTATACTACTGTTTAGAGAAATTCCCTTCAATACCCACGCTTTTCTTTTAAATTAGGAAACACTTGCACTTGATTAATTTTTACTTAACAAATAGTAATTCTTCGTCTTCGAAAAAAAAAGAAAAGAAAAGAAATCGTATTTTATTTTGGCGATACTTGCTTTGACGTTTATCGCGCGGTGTTGATCTTTAAAGGATAAAGACAATTTTACCAATTTTAATGCAAAAGTGTGAAACCTGTTCAAGATTCAAAAGCTAATTTAAACTATTTCATATGATAATTTTAAAAAGCTTTTATTTATTTATTATATTTTTATTTTCATTCATAAAAGTAGAAACATTATTTTTTGTATAATATTTATCACTTATATTAAAATATTGCTTAGTTATATATTGAATCTAAAAAAAAGGTTATTTCAATATTCATACACATGTAAAAATATGTTTTTTTTTATGAGTTTACTTATAGCTCAATTCTAATAGTTATGGTGTTTCTAGGTTTTTTCAGATATTTGGAATAAGTAAGATAACACAATGGGTTATAAATAAGGTAAAACTATGTCTAAAAAATCTTGTCAACATTCCCAATACAAAAAAAGGAATTTTATTTAATTAATTTAAAAAAAATGAGCTAAAACTTTAATAAAAATAACTCAAAATTAATGCAATGAAACTTCTTAAATACATTGCATTTTTGTAGAAAAGAATTAAATATTTATACCACAATACATACGAATTATGGGAACAATATTTGATATACTTATTTTTCGAAAATAAGAAAAAAAATCTGAATACAAGTCTTAAAATATTTCATACAGCTAATTTATCTCAAATATAATAAATGAATCAATGAAAATTGTCAAATGATAAATAAGTGATTGTTTAGGAACTCACTCGTGTTAATCACCACAAGAAGAAAAAGGAATTTGGAAGATGAGATCGACTTCATTGTTATTCCGCAGATGAGACTGAAGTCCATAAAAGTTTAAAAAACTCTTCTCTTTTATATAGTGACCTACTCTCACGAAGGCGAGGTGAACGATTTGTTTTACTTTTTCTTTCATGAATTTTTACTTCAGTCCAGTGGGATCGAAAGAGCTGTCGAGCGTGTCATAATTTTTACTTTATTTTGGCTTTTTTTTTTCGATTGCTCCACGAAAATTGAAAGATTTGATTATTATACAAGCTGTTGCTTAATAAATTGCGAGGTTCCTACAATTAATGACCCTGTTTGAGTCACATTGCGAAATAAAGTAAGACAAATATAGCTTCGTGTAAGAATTGTTCTTTTGAGGAGGGGCCCTAGAAAACTAATAAAGAGGCAATAGAGCTCTGCTGCGATTTATAACTTCCAGAAAACAATTTTTCTATCATTGCATAATTTGAAAATATGACAACTGAAGATTATATTGCAAAGTTACAAAGTAAAATTCTCTTTTTTCTACGCGTCATGCAAGTTCAGTCATCACTGACTTGTAGCATTCATCCTCTTGCAAAAATTAAGAGTCGCGAAATTGCATATTTTTTGTTGTTGAAATGGCTGACATGGTATCTAACGAACCAATAAGATCAATTATATTTCATCGCATAGCAGTTAGACTTGTTATTCTCGCAAGAACCACAAACTCATGTCGGTAGCTTTGGTAATAAGTAAATTTAAAGTCAAAAAATCCTATAATAAAGCTAATAAAAGCTAAATTTTAAAAATCATATCGACTTTTTAAAGAACAATTTTCAACTCACATATGTGGAACAAATAAAGAAAGTTCTTTTCCTAAAAACATTACAAACTAATTTTAAAATAAAATAAAGTTTTTACAAATTATCGAGGGGAAAAACTCATTTTTTATCCATCATTACACTCTTGCTTGTAGAAAATTAAATGTCTCGAAATTGAATTCTTTTTTTAAAAATGGCTGATACAGTTTCTAACAAATCAATTGGATCAATTTTTGTTACATTTTGATGGGGCTTTGTTAGACATAACATTCGTACTTGAAACAAACTCATACCGATATTNTCATTAAAAAAATCAAAAAAAAAAAAAAAAACTGCCTGCCTTGTTTTTAAACAGTATTCTATCTGTAAGGAACATTTTGTATTCTATGGAACTCAAAATGATCGACCATCGTTTGGCGGAACCTCGACTTTATAATTAATCTTCATTCGTAATCATGAATATATAAACCAAATAAAGACTGCTAATTATTTTGAGTATCTTGTAAACCAAATGTTCATCATTGCCAGTCTTAAAGCTAAATTTTATGTCAGACAGTTACAATCACGAAACAGCGTTTAGCCTAGTTCAGAATTTATTTTTGGTATACGCATAAGCTGAAAAAAATAAGCTAAATTTGGGCTTGCGTTGAAATGAAAACAAAAAAGAACTGTTTCAAAATTTGAAAATTGATATAGGAAAATATAGTTATTTATTCTTGAACTCATTTTAAATTTTTATTTTATTTTACTGTGGATTGAAAAGCTTGATTAGAAATAGTATTACAGATTTTATACACGCATATCATTTTCCTTATTCTTTCAATATATTGCTTTTTTTCCCTTGCTGTATATTTTACTTAAATAATTTCATGAAAACAACCAAAATATTAAGTAAATATAGGATTATTGACATATAAATATGATTACAGGTTTCAAAAATTCTAAGTGATTAAATACAGTCCTAACGTTCGGAACCCCTAGGATCTCTCCGCTGAACCCTAGGGTCTACGGAACACCTTTCGGGAACCACTGTCTTATATCACCCAATTTGTAATTTTAGGTTTTTAATGTACTTAGCCCAATGGCACAATTTGACGAGCGAAGCATGTCATGCATTTATTTCGAATAAATAAGTGGTGGCAAGAGAATGTTGCTATCAATCTATTTCAGAAAGAAATAATGCACTAATAACTATTACTTTATATAAATGATAATGTATACTTATAGGTAGGTATCAGATTTGATTTGGTAAAAAATATCAATCATCTTTACTTAGTCGACTCTCTATCAACTTTTATGTTTGCTGTTTCCTCTTAGTCTGGCATTTAAATAAATTGGATTTCAATAGGTTAAAGGAAGCTCTTAAAGTTGTAGTTACAGTTTGTGCGACCTTTTAACATGGTTTTTCGAAGATCTGTAGCCAAGGAAAATAAAAATAAAAAAAGTCACAGTTTAAGATACTCGAAGCAAAGTGATGGTTTTAAACTATATATATATCATCATGCCATCTGGTCTTTAGAACGAACAAATAACTTAAATATTTTAAAAGTTACTATTTTTTTTAAAAAAAAATCACCAAGTTGGCGATTTTTTTCCACCTAGATGAAAATTACGAAACTCACTGCCTTATTCTCAGTTTTTGCAAATTTTTATGAGCAGCATTGGAATAAATTTCAAAATTAGACCGTAATAGCCTTTCATTTTCACGAAATTGTGGCTTTTCTCCATATATACGTTTTGCGCCATTTTCAAACTAAGCATAGACAGCGTGGGCTTTAGATAGGCTAAACTGGATCTAACAGTCATGAGTAAATGTTGCAAACTCACAGCATTTATGAAAATAGCATATTATTCGCAAAAAAGCATCATTTCATTAGACGATTTAGACTTTGAAAAACAGCCTTAAATATTCTTCTTCTGCGCTGTCCTTAGGGAAATGGGTGACTCAGAACGCCATTAGATTTTAGCTCTTAATTGCAAAAATATTATTGTTATTGTTTTTACGTTGATTGTTTTATTTATTTAATAAGTTTTTAGAATTTAACTTCTAAGAACAAACAACTTAAATTTTCTTATTACTATTATATTTTAAGATTTTTTAACAAATTTTAGATTGTTTTTATTAATGATTAGATTATTTTTATTAATGATATACTGGGCTCGAGCTCTTCAGTGAGGAGTTCTACGTTTCAGCACCTGTCCTTAATAATCATACAAATATTTTTTTAAAATTATTTAAAAAATGTTTTTTTGCGCTACCTTTTTCGACCTCTAGAGTTTATGAAATGCCTAGGCTAATGTTCGGCATTTAGCCTAATACGCATTTAGCATTAAGTCAAAAGGTATTAGCCAAGGCTAAATGCCTCGTCTCTCCCCCACTCTCAACGACTCTAGATGCTTCTATATTTAACACCTAAAAAACTAATGATATAATGAAACAAAAAACAATTAATGCTTTTTTTTAAAAAAAAATATCTCATTTGAATAAAATTTAAAATTAAATAACTTATTATTATTAAATTAAGAGAAACTCTTACTCTTTATACACCTTTCATTCTTAAACTCGTTGTTGAAACATGGTTGTTGAAATCTAAAAATTTCGTAATCAAACTTTTCTGACTGACACGAAAGGTATCTGTATTCTGCATACGATCGAAAGGTGTTTTCCAATAAATTCTAAATACAAAGAAAAAAATGCATTTGCTATATTCTAGAATGAAGAGACAAAATATAAAACACTAATTCTTTACGAGCAAGACGGCTGGTAAAGGTTGTCGGTGCGCACATTACCACCATCACTTAATTTTGAAGCCTTAATATGCATGAATCAACACCCCCCTCCCTTTGCCAACAATGGGTTGTCGTGGTTATGCTTCGATTTTTTATTTCGTAAGATATTGCTGCCAAATATTTATTGAATACTCTTTCGAAAATTTCTTTCCGCAACCAACAAATAAAAAAATTATTTCCCTCAATTTTTATTATAATTTTACGGTGAAGGAAAAAAAGGCACCAGGAGTTTCGGATTTATGAATATATAGCGGATTAATTGCTCATTTTATAGCTCTTTCAAGTAAAAGTCTGTGATGACAATAAATAACTAAAAGTAAACAAATCAATAATAAAAGACAGTAAACAGGTAAAATTTGAATATTTGAAGGTACTTTTAACGAAACTATCAAATTTCGAATGTTATATTTTCCCATTTAACAAGATTTTAATTCTTAATTTGTTAAAAAAAAATGTCTGTAAACGTGGTATATTGGGTACAAATAAGTTTAAGCAGAGTTAATAAATGAATAAAATGTTTAAATTATATTATACAGCGATACATCAATTTCCGCCGAGAAAACATGGTTTATTAAGGTTTACCACTTGAAAATGTAAAATGTTTTAGTCTCCTTAGACATAAAAAAAACAAGCAGAAGAGAAGAACAAATAAGAAACAGAATGAAAGAATGTTTGAAAAAATAGTAATTTAAAAAACAAGGAAAAGTAGTGATTTTAAAAACTGTGTTCTCACATCAGTAGAGTTTTAAAAAGAAATAATGCATTTTTTGTACGGAAATTTCATTGAGAAAGGAAGTGCTGCAAATCAATGTCAGTCTAAGTTATTATCTCTCCTAATCCTCTCAAGTCAATCCCTGCTTTATTTTGTCAAACCGTAAAACCATCTGACATTTCGCACGGTTATTGACACAGGTAAGATAAAATTAATTGGATATGTAACAAGAACAAAACTTTTTGTTTTTAAAAAAAAATTTATACTTTTATACACGACATTGTAACTTAATTTTTAAATTATTTGAATGTACAAAAAAAATTTAATATTTTTACTTTTTAATATATATTTTGATTTGTTTATTGAAAAAGATAGCAAAGTAAACTAAAATATTTCTGAGAGCTAAATTTAAAAAAAAAAAAAAGTAGCTATCAGTTTATTTAAACAAAAAATTTTAAAAACAGGAAAATTTTTTTTATTTGTGGGTGAAATTCAAACTTTTGTTCATACTGTTCAGGTAGTCAGGGATTCAAAATAACCTTCTATGTTTTGAGGAACAATATCGGAATCGGTTAGAAAAGAATTAAGACCACGGGGGGGAAATGGTTTAAGTTCATAAAAGCCGATTCCGAAAAGAAAAAAAAAACATTTTGCATTCGGAAAGGAAAGGTTTTTCCACTGAACGACCCATCTATTCTCTGCATAATAACTCTCGGGGAGAAATGATTTTTCACGTTAATGATTTGTCAAAACTTAGTAATCCTCAAAATGTAACAGATTCATTCGTCATTTTTGTGAAAAATGGACGTAAACCGTTCTTTTGCCTTGTTATTCAAATGTAATTACCGAAAAAGAACGTTTGTCTCCCCTCCCCATTATATTCTAGTTATTGAATCAGTAAGATTTAAGAACATACATATGGTCAATAATCATTTAGGATTAATATAAAAATGCGAACATTTCATTGTATTACTTACTCCCTCCTTAAGAATTGCATTTTTCTAATTCTTGTAATTTTCATTTCCTTTAAATTTTCTTGGTTAACAAAAAAATTTTATTCCTTTATTTTAAGGAAAAACAGCGTACTATTTACTTTAAGTGAAATTATTCTTCGTTAAAAATTTATAAAATTGCATAATAGATTTTTTTTAGAAAAAAATAAATAAATTCAATACTGTTCATATTTATTTGACAACGAAAGACGTAATTTTACTCTCTATCCATTCTCCCCATAAAAAAAAATAAGTCTTTTTTTTTGAAGTCTCTGG